TATGCTGTTGGCTCTTGCTCCAACATCTGCTTTTAATTACTCAATTAGTGCAATCATTTAGTCTCCTTGACATTCATCCAAATGGCAAATCATAGCCGGAAGATGTTCTGTTCAAACAGAGCGTTAAGAAGAGTCATGAAAAATGCATACACGATAATGTATATGGATACTTAACTAATTGAACCAATTAAAGGGAGGGAACTGGTTTGAGTGCGAACAGCGCCGGCATTGCCCTCCGGGAAGAAGCTTTGACACTTCTGATCTACAGCCTCCCCTCTCCCTATTCACAGACCTGGGCCTGAGGTCATATTTCAGCAGACAAAAGGTTTTTGACTTCAGTCACACAGCAACAATGAACCAAAAATGTAAAAGCCATGCAGATTGAAGGCTGCACAGAGCATCAGACAGGCCAATCTAGTACAAAGTAGAAGCATATCCAGGTTCTTATGGTAGATAGAAGGTAGTTAGATTGACTCTGTCCTCAGAAACTGGAGACAATAAACCGCAGGATTCATTAATGCGTACACATCTTATTTTCTATGGAATTCAGTGTCATTGCTACCACCGTAGTGAGATATCCCAAACTGTGACATGCACATTAAAGCGTAATCCCTTCTTGTTTTTCAAGACTTTTGACTATACTTTAAAACCATTGTGAGACTCCTCTCTCAGATATATGTATATTTCAGCATAGACATACCAACAGATCAACCTGAGGGTTGAATGAATATCTGCTCGGTTTAAGACGAGCTCGCTTACCCCCATCCCAAAGTTAAACCGAGTCAATCCCCCCCACCACAAAAAAAAGAATGATTGTACCCCTGCGGTGGTTTATTTCCTGCATGCTATGGATGCATAAATAAACATAGGCATAAATACACAGAGGACACTGACTGGGACTAGCTGGCCAAGTGGGGCAGCTGTTATTAAAAGGGCTATTTATCACTGTCACCCCTCTCAGGTTCCATCCCTCTCTGCCCTCCAGCGATGTCACTAGGCCGCACAGGAACAATGTGGCTCATCCAACCAAACCTACCCCCTCGATCATATATACACAAACACACACGTGGTTGGAGTCACAGCTACACACACACACACACACACACACACACACACACACACACACACACAGAGTAAACATGTATAGCTTTGACCTGCTTGCATATGTATATTGTGTGAATAAACTGGCATCGACTTCTCATTTGATGACTTGGCTGAAACAAACACAAAAATACAAGAACCTCGCTCCTTTCGATTTTCGTCAGATATCTACAACACAGCTACACTGCGCACACCGTTCATTTTCCGCTCTGTTACTTTATTGATTGTGGCCACAATTATCCACTTTTCTGAAGCACTGCATTAAGTGAATTCCCCATTTGTTGGACAATAAGTACAGAAGGTCGGCTAAGTCATGCTATTCCTCAGCCTAAGGGGACAGTCTACTTCTCCAGCACCCTCATCATCATTAGCAAGCCCAGATAAAAACACACCTCAATTAGTCCACCTCTGCTGGGAGAGCCACATCAAGTGAGGCAGAGGCTTCCAACTGACCAATGCCATAACTTCACTTACAGCAGCTCTTGCCGTGTCCAGACCGAGGGCAAAAGATTACATTATTGAACGATCGCCTATGCTTAGAGGTTTCAGCATTCGAAGGGAGCCTTAAAGCAAATTTTCAGTCTGTGTCTTGCACTAAAACTGAAGACCCTGAGGTACAGAAGTGTAACTTATACGTACAATGCAACAACAGCAGGTTGTACTCTAGATATGCAGTCAGCAAGGACTTTTAAATAACCTCTTGCTGGAGGTATATTTTCACATTGCGTACCAAAGTTACATTAGAAAACAGATACATTAATGAGCATTTGCCATAACATGTAGAGTACATTATAATATGGCTGCAACTAACGCTTATTTCATTATCGATGAACCTGGCGGATATTTGCTCGAATACCTAATTCATAGTTTTGAAACTTTCAAAAAATTAAATTACAACTTCCCAGAGCCTGAGGTGACATCTTCAAATGTGAAGCAGCAATTTCCCATTTGAGAAGCTAGAAACTGAGAAATTGTAGTATTTTTTTTCACCATTTCTTTTTCACTAAATGACTGAAATGATTCATCCTTTATCAAAATAGTTGCAAGTTATTTTTCTGTCAATTGACTAACCACTTAATCAACCAATCGTTTCAGCTCTACATTATGTTTTTTCTTGGGGAGTTCTTGTCTCCATCTTGCGAGCACCAACCAGCTTTTTAATTCTGAACTCCCTCCTTTTTCTCATCTAAGCACTACAGCACCTATAAACCTCTCACACGCAGCAATCCACTCACGATTAATGAAGTGCTTACTTAACCAATTTAAACCCTTAATTCCTATTAATTCAACATAATAGCCATCCTCTCCGCCAGAATTAACAACACTCCAGCAGAAACTTACAAATCTCTGCAGGCCAGAAAGAGTCAACCCAGCAAATCCCATATTCTTCGATAAATATGTAACAGTATGTATATCGCTGTTAAAATGCATAACCCTCGTGTAAGACCCCCATCAAGTCTGCTTTACACCTGTATTACATTTCTCCCTCAATCAGCAGCTTTTCTGAGACACCGGCCTCCCACGAGGAGCAGAAACCATTACAAGGGGCTGCAGCTCATTTGCAGAAAGATTGGAGATCACGCTGCATCAAAAAGTATGTGAAGCATTTCCCAGAACAAAATTGATTTATTCCATTTCTATGTTTGTATGCAGCATCAGTATCAGTGTATTTAATGTAAATCCCCAGTCTGGCATCGAGTTGCTGTGTAGGTTGCTCCTTATTGTGCAAGTAAGAAGCAGGGGCAATCAAATAACACAAGGGGCCTGCTCGGGTGCAACATTTAGGCACATGCAGTATTTTTCATATAAGATATTTTATCGTGAACCAAATGATAAAACATACATTCAGTGTAACAAATCATATCAATCAAACAAAACCATGCACAATGCCCCTTTTTCTGATCCACTGATGCCGCTTGTTTAAGCTACAAAGACATTCGGCTGTTCTTTAGTGAAATAAAAAGGCATAAGCAAATAAATAAATATTTCTGAGTATTTCAATTTTGACTGAGGAAAAACAGATCAAGCAGAGCCCGTGGCTAGAGGAGCCTGACTGCATGCTGGTGGGGGGTAAAAGACAGCCTGGGGGATGTGGAGGGCGTCTGTTTTTTAATGAGCTGAAACTTTAAATACTGCATAATATATAATAAAAATGGATAGTTCATTTAACTCTCCCGATAAGTCTTTGAAAAACTATTAAAATCCATTCCTCTCTTAATGTCAACAGAGTAAGCATTGAGTATGAATGAAGTGAACATGAAGCCACATCATCAACAAGAAAGAAAAACACAACAATAATCAACTTGAACTGGAAGAAAAAATGGATTTGGGCATGAAGTTAAGTGCACAAGCTCAAGGGCATCAACTAAGCAATGACAATGATTTATTAAACTATATCAATTTGGATCCACTCTGAGAATGCAAAATTAGCATGTTTATCATGCTTTAAATGTGAAGTAGAATATGAGCAACCTTGACAAAATTGTCCAGAATTTGTATTTACTGCAACTTGGCTGTAATGTCAGCTGGGAGTGATCTTGAGCCAGAAAAGCCAGAATAGATGACTGACAGACATTTCAGCCACCCACTGACAGTAGCTTTGGCAACGCTGATTGGCACAGCAGGCACAGCGTTTCAACACTTACCCTTCCCCCAACGCGCGCACACACACACACCTACAAAATATCATGAAGATAAAGAAGAGAGGGGGACATCGAGAAAATAATCATGGTGCCCCTCGTCATAAATACACCATAATAGATTTGTTACAGCTTCCACTATCACTGATCCAAAAGAGAAAGAAAAAATAGTGGTTCAAGTGTCAATGACAACAATTATAAACCAATTAAAAAAATCTTTTAACAAGAACAAATCAAAATGTAGAGGTCTCTCACTCTGATTAAGTACTACTCTTTCAAAGCTGATCAAAGTGTGCATATATGCAACTGGAGAGGTTTCTAGGAGAAAAGTAATGAGCTCCATGATCCCGTTGTCACATTGTAATTCAAAAAGTGCCATTTCACTATGTGAATATTGTGACAATGTTGGCTGACACCTCTGCATTAAGATGTAATTCCACGTGTGGTCCTTAAAGTGATCTGAGTGATGGCTCTGGTAGAGCACGCGCAGAGACGATGCTGGTGGCCGATCCAGAGGCTTAATAATGATAACCTCAACAATATTAGCTGCAGGGGTTTGTTCACACAATAATTGTTTCTGCCAAGCCATACATCTATATGACAGAGAAAGAGCTGCTGTGACTTTCCTGCTAAATAATTGATTTAAGAATCGGCCGCATCAACCATTTCGAGAAGATGAACATGGTTTGTGCCGTTTATATTTATTTTTTTGCTTTGAAGAAACTGAGAATTTATTAGCTAATTAGAAGATAATTACAACTCTCTGCAAGTTGATTAGCAATTTCACTGTTGAACATTAACAATTTACAGCAACACTACACTCAATTTCAGCACTTGTTTTGCTTTACTTACCTAAATTCTAAACAGTACAAGTATTTAAAGATTTCACCTTGACAAAACTTATTACCAGCTTTCGCATGCAATTAAACTTGCCAAACAGGCATTAATTCTTTGTTCATTACCAATTTAGATGTGTGTTGGGTAATTTAGACCCTTCAATACAGGACTAGACTACCACGGCTATTAAAAGGCATCAATCTCGCACCAAATGCGGATATATTTTGTTAATTTACAGCAGCTCATTTGCAGTCCAGATACCTTAAACCTGCACTTGTGTCGACTGAGGTTCGATGCGTAATGCAAAGCCTCTGCCGGAGCTGAAGGGGTGCCCTCCCCTGCAGTTTAGAGTGACTCAAAAGGTGAAGCCCTGAAAACAAATACAATGTACTCACATGCTCCACAGTTTAGATTTCACTGACTCGCATCATCCTGTAAAAGCAGCGCACAAAGCTGCAGTCAGATGCAACCCCACGCAATTGTGTCTGGCTGTACGGTGGTATCAATGCAGCTCGTGGGTCAAAGGGTCAATGAGTAATTAAGACATGGTTGCCTGAGCATTCCCCATGCACATCTTCAGTCCTGATGAAAGGTTGTAAATGAAAGGGGGGGGGGGATTTAAGTGCAGCCTGATACTATGGATCAGATTTCCATAAGTGTGTCTAAATGTTCCGTGTTCGAGGCAATTAGTATGATTAACAGACAGTGTGGTGTCATCACGCTGTTTTAAGAGGATTTTGCGCATGAATTCCGCATGAGGGTTGAAATTCTTTTACACAACAGTTTACATTGCTTAGAATAAAAATATGCAAATTACTGTTCATCCAGGGACATTAAATATCTGTTTAATATCTCATTCAGTTATTAGTGTGCGTAATTCAGCAAAGCTAAGCAGTTTTCTTTCTTTTTTTTGGAAAAGGAGGTGATGGTGGTGCTAGTATATGTGTTGGCCTAACAAATGAATGGAGTCTCCCACCATAAGACCACGAGGAAGGAACATTCAACACATTTTGATATTTAAATTATTATTTTTTTGATTCAATTACCTTGTAAATGCTCTTGCATAAGACGAGCACGATTTACACAACAGGACACTCGCGAAGAGGCGGTGCATCATGGGCAGCAGGTCAAAAGGTGCATTCATTTACATGTACAACAAGAAATTATGTGTCCGGTTTCATTGTTGCTAAAAAATGAAGAGGCCAAGGAGAGAAAATTGAGGTCCCTGATAAATGCTATTCGTAGGAGATGCTGTGGAGTGAGGAAATCAATATGGCAGTTTGTCAACCTGCCTCTCAGAGGGAGCAGGACTCTGCAGCAGAAGTAAGTGTGCCCTGTCAGCAAAGCACATTACTAGAAATCAAAGGCCAGTGAAGGCCCGAAGGAAGGGATGCAGATGTCTCGAAACAAAGGCCACACTTTGGTAATTAAAACCTATTTTATCAGACCTGTCTTGTCACTGGTTTTTCTCTAACACTATTGACTATCTGTTGCATGCATAGTGATCACTAATTCACCTTTAAATAAATGAACCAGGGTTATTTAAAATCCTGTTACACAAAGTGAAGCAAAAAGATATGATCACATCAAATCAAATAAATGATGACGGTTGGTATCACTTTAATATTCAAGACTTTAGCTATATGAAGAAAATGATCTTATTTGAGAAGCTGGCTGACTCTTATGCACAGGTGTTAAGTCCATGTAGCAGGAAAACCATCACAGCCAGTACGTCAGTCATTTTACACCCTTTAATATTTGTTGCAAAAAATATACTTTTACAAGTCAGATTTCCGCACAAACTGTAAGTATTGTGTGTCAGTGTAATAACATGCATTACCACTGCAACTCTTAAATCTTAAATAATCAAACACAAATGAACCTGTGCAACCACACAATAAGAGCACTAGGGACATAACACAATCTGTCCACCAGAACTGTTTTAAGTACAGCAGCTTGGCAGTCAAGAGTCTTTTTGAAAATACACAAAAAACTGTTTTATTCATGGTTTAGTACTGTGAGCCTTCTTCTTCTTTGTAGGCAAAATAGACTGTAACAGGTCCAACACTTGTCTGCACCGTCTCTGTAGCTCCCACCACCATCCAGCAACCAATGCCATAGGCCAAACAGGGGATGCCTGCAGTAAGAGGACACAGTGATTATCTGGTAGTGTTTAAAGATATATTCTTGATTTTATAGGAACAAGGAAGTGCATTAAATATAATTACTGACCCAGATTAAGAACTTTCAACATGGTGAAAAACGTGTCCTCAAAGTCCAGCTTCTCTGGGGGCGCTTTGGTGCAGTGATACTTTATAAAGGGGAAGCAGCCTGTTCTCAGTATTTGGTAGTTGGATCCCTGGACTCGCCAATTAAAGTTGGACAGTCCGAACTGGTCATTGTGAACGGAGCTGTAGCGGACACAGTAGGACGTCCACGGCGGGAGTTTACGCTGCAGCAGGTGGCAGGTCAGCACCTCTGAGGCAGCTGCCCGCGGGCCTGTCCTGCCAAATGTGCTCGGAAACAGGGCGATCTTCACAAAGACGCTGTGTACCTTCCTCAGAAAACCCTTCATGACTTGCGTGAGAAGTGGAATTATTCACCTTTTTTTTTTTTTTCCAATCACCTGGACTGCATGCAAACTACTCACAGACAGAGCTCTGACCAGCCATAGAGGATGCCTACAGACATTGTAAATCAGCTGATGTACAACAGCAACACATGCTGTATATGCACGTCCGTAGCAGCAGTGGGGAAAAGGCACAGGGCAATTTACACGAGCAACTAACGTGAGCTAAAGTTAGCACAAGACAGTCCCTGTTTGTACGCTAAACGATGGCTATTCTGCTAATGCTAGTCCGCTACACAGAGCTACACGCCCGGATAAACATGGTGAACACACACGATTTGTTTTACCAAGCTGAGAGACGTATGAAGAGAGCCTCTCAGTTTAACGTGCTGTAGTGTTTGCTGTTTGCTCTGACCTGGTGCTCCTACTAAAGTCATCCGGGCGGGAAACACAGCGCTGCGCAGTTGTTCCTCTTCAACGGAGTCAGCGACTATAACCTGCATTTCATTCATATACATGTACTCACCTGTTCACCGGATATTAGTCATGAGTCCTGTGTGACCTCTCAGCCCGCACTTTACTCATACCAAGACACCCTATACAGCTAAAAATGTAAAAATCCAATTTAGCCTATAGTTTATCATTTTAGAAATGATTCTCAACTCATTTCAATGTGTGAATGTAATGAATGACTTGTCTTTTTTTCCACGCTCCTATTATTCACATGCTGTCTTCTTTTTATATTTACCATATTTATTAAGATTACTATATGTTTAGTTATCAACTACCGTAACCAAATAAACACATTGCAACTTTTACCACCACTGACCCCACTTGTAATGTTTTTTTTAATGTTTTTGTTGGTCTCCCGATCACATGAACACCACCAGCACATCCTCATTTAAGTGCAAACTACATCCACTCAGAGACACTGGAGAACCTGCTGAAATATTTCCAAGCTTCAGTGGTCTGCTGTAGATCAGCACCACGGACAGCAGTCGGCAAACCACCACAACTAAACAAAACTGTCTCCATGTCAGCCAGAATTAATACTGAATATGGGCCACGCAAAAGCAAACATGTTAAGTCAAGCTCGCATACGCATACATACACACACACACACACACACACACACACACACACACACACACACACACACACATTCACATTAAATGATACATAATGTAGACACGTTGTATAAAAGAGAAATCTGGTTGTGTGGGTGATCAGTAATGTTTAAACACTTCTTGTGTGTGAATGCAAACATTAATAAAATCAACTCATCTCAAAACAAATTACGGATTTAAAATACCAGACTTTTACAATTCACAAATTTACTCCTGAAAACAACATATATATATATATATATATATGGATATGAAAAAATAACATATCACTGAACTATGTCTCATCATCAGGGCTTGGAGGAAATAAAAAACACATACATCCTTGCTGTCAATGTGTATATTTATTTATAAAATACCTATTTGCACTCTTTTAGCTAATTTACTAGTTAAATGGGAAGCATGAGTCAGAAAGTCAATAATTATGAACACTTGTAAGTTAGTGTATCCTTTTTTAAAATATCAACTACAAAATATTTCTGACAAAGAAATATTGGACTTTATTTATTTCAGATATTACATATTACATATTGCCAACTAACAGAAGTAGTCTTTTGTAAATCAAGTTACAGCGAGTACAAATAACTTTCTCATAAACCGACCAAAGTAGTGTGTGGTCACCAGTTCACAGACAAATGAATTAAAGAACATCTCACAAAACAATAACACTAAATAATATACTCAACATACTGATCTATGTCATCTATAAACAAAATAATATGCACTCCATAAACACTACATATTCATTTGATGGCACACTAGTTTAAGCATGATTAATCAAGACAAAATAAAATGGTTTTCTATAATTTGAATGAATGAATATTTGATACATTCATACATGAAGCCTACTCTACGACCTTGTGCATAGTTTACTGTATGTCTCTATAAGCATTTTCCAATATTTAACCATATTCAAGCAGTTAAAACGCATTACAAAAACATTTATTAGAAAGGTTCAGGACAGATTCTGATGTTTTTTCAGGAATTTATTCAGCTCTCTTTGTTTGATCAATGTTAATTCATCTCCAGGTTTTTCATATTCACACTTTAATTTCACATTAAAGGTGGCAAAGACGTGATGGCTTAACTCCGCAAGAGTAAGGCAAGTTTATCACTGAAGCAGCTGTCTTACACAACCGGTTTATCCTCCGCAGCTCGCATCTTGTTCTGAGCAGTCATCTGCACAACATCTTCTATGTTCTTGATCAGCACCTCCAAAAAGAAACAAAAGATAAAATAAGTTAAATTACTACTCATCATTATTATCCCACACGACAACAATCTTTCATTTGAAAATACACAACATTCACTTCAGCAAAATCATTCAAGCTGACCGGAGCTGAAGTGAAGATGCAAGTTTCATGATATAGATGAGGAGGGATCGTTAAGTCATTAACACGGTACCTTAAAATTGGTTTCTCCTTGCATTTTAGGGGGCGATATTTCCTGATGAATGACTGACAGATTCCGAGCAAAGGTCACCAGAGCTCCCTGGAGATCCTCAGAGACTGTTCTGTTAACGACACCCCAAACAAACGAGTTTACTAACGTTCCCCATGTTGCCAGCTAAGAAACAATCACCGTGTTCATCTGACGGTGGTGGTTAAATGAAACTCTCAGCAGACAACATCTTCACTCTTTAGGGGGATGAGCACAGCTTGATTTAACTGTTACAGCTAAAGGATTTGAGTGATAAATAAGTTAAATAACCCTCTGCGTAACAACTTGTAGAGTTTGCATCAGTTACAAAGCCAGAGGTGGCATCTTAATCCTCTAAAATAATTGTTTTTACTCTCACTCTGGAGAAGTCTCTCATCCACCTCATCCTCTACTGTTGTTTTCATGTGCTCGTCTATTTGAACAGAGAAGAATAACAAACTTAAATGTGCTCAGAATTCCTTCTCCTGGCGATTAATACTGTATGTATATGGCTTTGATGCAATAAGGAATACTCACATCATTCCAAGGGTGCGACGCTCACTGCTGTCGTAAACAGCAAAAACTGTTCCTTGCTTACTCTGAAAATGAAGAACCACAAACACACAGTCAAAAGAAAAGCTCCGTCGTCACATAGTCAAGATTAAAATCAATATAATATCTATAGGGCAGAACTCGAGAAATCCTCTTTTATATTCCATACATCCTTCTTCCTTGTTAAAACCTGGATCCCGCTTTACCCATAATGCAACTTGGCCGTCAGTTCTATGTGTTGTGCTATCAGCATCACATTTAGCCTTGACCTGCTAGCCTCAAGCAGAGATGAGCAGTCGGATAAAGAGGTTTTCTTTCTGACAGCACACACCCATAACTGTTTTTGCATTTTCAAACTTGTAGTCTTTACACCCACTCGACACTGACTCAAGTGACATCACTTGAGGCACTTTGTGCAGCTCCCTCTTTTCCCATTTGCAGCAGAACTCCCCAAGACCTTTAAAACACACTTTGAGGTGTAAAATTGGCGGAGTTACCCTTTAAATTAATCATATACTAAGCAGAAAAATGGACAAGATGTAGATGATATAAAGATTTTTACCTTTATGTTAAATCCTGTGCCATGAGCCCTGCACACCATAAATAACACATTATGGTAGAGCATGGAGAGGTTAGAGTGAAACAAGCGGCTCCCAATAACTGCATAACGATTAACCACAGGAGGCTGTGAAAAAAACAAAAACAAGAAAGAAAACAAGAAAGAGACAAAAATTAAGTATGATTGTTGCCATTAGTCTTCCTGTATCTATAACAAGACAAAAGCACTTCATGTATTTACATTTGGAGCTAAAGTATAATAGGTGGTGTGTGTAAAATGGGTGAAGTAGAGATGGCTGAACCCCATACACATGTCCTTAGGGTCACTGTTGAGGTTGGGGAGTGTGTGTGATTAGTAAACATGATGAGTGTGGGGAACATGTGGTAAACTGTTGGGCCTTTCTTAATTAACTGTGGGGAGGAACAATTAATGTTTAGAAGACATGCCAAATACAAGATGAGCTTAATTGTACGATGCCAATCAAGAAACCACAGTTTTGGGACTGCAAAATCTTTGCATTCAATTTAAGACAAAAGCACTACCAAATGCACAAAAGGACTACTCAACGCACAATGCACATCACCATAATAGAGGGGTTCTGAGCATGTGAGTGTCATAAGTAACACTAGAGAGGTTGATTACTTAAAAGTGGCAGGGCTCAAGAGGATAAAAATGTTCCTGCTATTCAAGCACCTTTGGGAGACAAAAAGAGCAGGCCTAAGCCTCTGTGAGCTCAGGAGATAGCCCATAACTCGCTGTGATGGGTGTGTGCTTGCGGTTGTCAAACACAGGACCCTCTCACAACAATAAAAGTGTCCAACAGGGATTTAATTGTGTTTGTAATATGCAGGCCCCTAATGATGGCCACTGGTAAAGCCATTAACCACTGCGGTGGCTCAACTGCTGTACTGAAGCACCAGGCTACCGACTAAATGAATGTTTGATAAAATAATACAAGTCGCAGATTAACAAGCGTAAACTCAGGCATACTGCTAATAAAAGGACTCTATTGTTTAAGGCCTGGCACCAGGTTGATGAGGTGTTCAAGCATGCATACACATGCATAATGAAAATGTTATGAATTATTAATGTGTTGATTATTTAGGCCCATCTATCAAAATGATAATGAATTCCGCACCTAAACACCAATTGAGCTCAGTGCGTAATTACATTATTTAGTTGTATTTAACAAAGATGAAGAGGAAACCACTGATCTATCTTTGTGATTACTGTAGTGGTACAATAATATCCTCTTCAGTCTCAGCTTGCTTTAGAACTGGTGCTTTCTTTCTTGTTGAGGACACTGCAAAAGCATACAACTTCAAATATATAGCATTTAAAATCGACCTTTAGAAAAATGTTACATTATCAAAAATGTCGTTATAAGCAAATATAAAATGGTACTTTGGCTGCAATCTGATGTTCACAGCATTTTTCTTGGATTGGCATTGGCACTTCTAAACAGCCTGTGCGGCAATTCAGCGTTCCTCCAGTCATCATCAGAAGCATCTGGGTCATGGCCAGCTGGTCACTGTATGTGAGGTCCAGATCAATAGCCCACACCTGCAAACAAGACATTGTGAACTCCGTGTCACAGCAGAGACAGACACTATAAACCTAAATTCCAATTTGATCACAAAAATAGAACATCAAAGTATTTCACCCAGCAATCCTTATAAAGAGAGGGGGGTCAGTACCTTTCAATCTCTACAGTGTTATCCATGTTGAGAGGCAGGGGAAAGGAAAACACGGTTAATGGTGTGTGCTCGACAGATT